GCATTAAATAACGGCAACCGCGGATCACTGCGAAATACGCTTTTTCAAAACACGAACGAGCCGATTTAGAATTCTAGAGTAACGTGCAGATATATACGCGAGGTCGAAAGAGTTTCGCGACATGTCGGATTCTAGTGTCGTCTTAGCTTTCCATACTTATCCCGCCCATCGATTGTGGGATATATCGGCGGATTTATCGATCCCTAAACGCGTACAATGAAATATTCCGTGGCAGCCTGAGAACTCTAACGCTCGACGCTTCGCTAATCAGATTGTTTCATAATACGGCAAACCGCTTATCCTCTTACACAACACGATTCATCTGTTTTGTTCGATGGAGCACGAGCTTTGCCGTTGCGTACAACTGCGAGAACGTTCTGCCGCAATCGCCAACAGGTCGCGATATAATTGCTGCTTAATGAGGCGAAAAAATACGAGCCCGGTTACTCGCCGGGCTATTGTGTTACCGTTCTTTGGTAAACTCCGATCCGGCCTCCTATTACATGTCTGGCTAAAAATAATAATGGTTTACACTTTGCTACCTATGTTTGCACCACATATCCATAATTGCCCGTACGTGATTCCGTCAAAGTGTGCGCCAATCTCGTGCACAACGGGTGGTTCGGTTTGCCGAGCAGTACAGATTTCGCAGACGTTCGTTTTATCGAGATGTGTATCAAAAAGCTGGCAGCAAGAAAAGTAATTAATTATAATCGCTTAAAAGATAATCTTTCGTCCATTGTTCAACAAGCACGATAATTCATAACACTATTAAGTCGAAGGTTCGATTAAAAATGCAACTGGTCCCGATTCAACGTGGCAAAAAAGGAGATTCTATCAAAATTGGACAAGACAAAATGAATAACTTGAAGTCTCGTATGAACATGCAATTCGTATTGTATATTCTTGACTTGCAAAATTATTTCAATTTTTATTTTACATCTGAACTTTGGGACTATTTGGAACGGGTATTTTTATCAATTCGACCACTGAAACTCGGTGCGACATTTATCGTGATAAACAATAAATGCAAAGAAGAGAGAGAGAGGGATATCATTTTTTAGTCGATATATGATTAAAGGTAAATGATAAAAATCGTCGTAAATGTCACGCCAACGTGCGCGCACCGCGTATAAAACCGCATAAAACCGCATGTAAAAAGGAAGGGTATCGACTGGGAATTGTGTCACCCGATGTGCACCGTGTTGTCGCTCCGGCCAGGCCAGACGTAACACGAGACTGACCATGCGAGGAGGCGGCCACTTGCTTAGTGTACATACCATCTCTACCAACACCGATTTGAGAGCACCATAACATCGTGGTCACCATGATCATCAGCTCGAGCCGCACGAAACACGAGGGACGCGCCGCGCCGGACGCGCAAGCGAGAGAGAATAGACGCGCTCGGCAGGAGTCTGCCCCTCTTTCTCTCCCTTTTTCTTTTGCCATCTCTACCTCTTCCCTTCGTGCCCATCCTTCACGAGCTGTGTGACCAACGGTGTGACTGACACCGTGCCGGTGCTTATCGATGACCGTGACACTAATGACGGTGCCACCTAGACCACCGAAGAATTTGCGCGCAGGGTGAAACTGACAATGCATTTTTCAAATACCTTATATTAATAACTTATATTAATGAAAAGATATTCTGCGAATATGTACGATCTTAAATGAGACAGAACTAATTCCCAGACGGCATGCATATCTAAAAGACGTCGTAAAGACATTTTTTTTAAACATACGCGTTGTCTGAGAAACTACGAGCGCCGAATAAAATAATATAATTAATTATGTCGCACTGACAAAATTCTGATCACTTTATTTAAATATATTCCTAGCTTTGAAGCATTAGAGAAAACTTATATATTTTTAATGAGCCTTTGTGCGTTCAGCGCATATTGTTTAAACTTTAAATGGCCAAAGTTGTTTGACCATTTTGAATATCGCTGATATAATGCGTTATAGAATATTTGAAGCTTTTTAATTTCGAGAATATGTGTCAAATATTTAATATTCTAATTTTAAATATTGTTTAGATTTATTTATTACACGTGACAAATATTACAGCAAAATTATTTATCACAAAAGTATAATTAATTTTAAGAACTTTTAAATGTTTATTTTGTCGTATAGCGATAAGTTAGATTGCAAATAATACGAGAAAATACTTCTAGCGCGATCTTTTGGAAGTTATAGCAATCTACCTGATACTTTTCTCTGTAATATCGATATGGAAGAATTACAAGCTGTATAAATTAATTGATTAACATGTATATATCTATATATTATATATAATATATATAAAAATTAAATAAAATATATAATAAAAGGTAATTTTATTCAAGAATATATATAATGTAATATTTACTGTACTGTATACTGTAATTCTCACTCCCCATATAATTAGCCCGACAAGATTAAAAATTCTGTACGTGTTATTTTATCTTTAAAGTATTTCGCGCTCGAGATTATCAAACATCACATGCATGAAGTATGTATTAACTGTCAATGTCAGGCATGACGGAATATATGTTTTTGAAATGTAGCAAAGTTAATTTTAAAGGGAGATTATTGATTCCTTCGATGTCAAGACAAATATGCGTTGTTTATAAGCATGCATGTTGTTTCTGAGATCGCAAACATGGCATTAGTGATACCAGAATGGAGTCGTCGAACACACCATGACTAGTCAGCCAGGTCAGCCTACCCATACTCCATCCCCGCTACTCATATATGTTGTCGGAGCAGCCGCGGCCCCATTCAGTTATCACTGTCACTGAGTTAAATCCATTGCCTCGATTGCATTGAAATAAAAAAAAAATCTTACCGGCCGATGCGCAACAGCGGAGTTGTAACCCTGCGTTGATCTGTAACGAAAAAATATTTTTACATTAAAACAGTGTCCAAGAGAGACGCAACCCCAGTAGCAGAGTGACGTCAAATGCCGTCTTAATGACGTCTAATTGACGTCTAGAGACGTCAGTCAGACGTCATCTTGCTACCTAGGAACGTTCGCGACGTAATATCTCTTCTCGCCGGAGATCGAACTCCGAAATTGCGCCGGAGTTAAATCTCAAACGAGTATAATGAGTATCACATATAATGAGCGAATCAAGGATCACGTTTGAGCTAGAAAGTGGCGGAATCCGCCACAGGACTAACAGGACAGTAAAATAATAAATGAATATAACCAATTACTCACCTTACAGTCGCCCCGCCGTCGCCCGTTGCCTCCCAGGCCCCGTCCTTCTCCGTTGTCCCATCTCCGTCGGCGCACTCACTCACGACGTTCACGCGCAAAAATATTGTCGCTAATAATCGCGCGACACTTTGCACGGCACTCCCGATATTAACCTCGCGACGCGGCGCGTACTTTTACATGGCGACGGAAGAATTATGGCGGAAAAGCTACGAATAAACATATGTACGATCCGCTCGACACCCGTGACCCGTGACGTCCCGCAGCCCCCGCAGGTAGACGCTAACATGGCGGAGAGAATTTCATAAATCGCGCGGCCAACTTCACTCGCCTGCAGGAGCAACGGAGCAGCTGTCGCGAGGACGCGCTACACCTGCTGCTCCCACAGCTCCCACACCTGTACTTTTCCGCACTTTGAACAAGGAATATAATGTCGAGATTACTTTTACGTATTGCAATATAAGCGACGTAAGAGGAATAAATGTATGAATTAATAGGTCAAAGAGAAATATTCGCAACCAACGTGCCAACCGAAAATAATACGATCGCTGCTTTGCTGATTAATTGTGATTTTGGTTAACTTGGATTAAATCATCGATTTATGAACATTAAATTGTCTCTCGCATCTATCCTCCACGATCGCCAAATATCAAAACAGATTTTAAACGTACGTTAGAGACCGTGATCGCTAATTAAACACGTTACTCAATTTAGGGTCCGTTCGATCTTTTTATCCGTGTTTATTCTGAAGCCGCGAGTTGCGCGACACGACGCGTAACGACGCGAGTCAGGTTGAGAAAAGCGAGATCGATCATCCGAAAAAATGTTATCGAAAGTCAATATATCATTGAATGCGATATACCTCGGTATCCGTATAAGATCCGCGAAGCACATGTATTAAATAAACATGCGATATATCAGTTTTTCGTAATCTGAGCCGTCGGACCCGGCGATTTATGTATTAACTCCGCAAGTCCGCACTTAATCCGAGAGCAGTGATGCCGGAATGGCCCGCGCCGACCGCGGCATTCACTGTGTGCAGCTGGCAATACTGGCATAGCGCCAATATGTAGAGTGCATCGATTAATCGCCTACACTATGAAAATTTTGATCCAACATTCTATTAATAAGAATTTAACCTTTCCAAAATTTATGATTTTCATAACATTTTCCACGATTATTCACATAAAACTGTATTAAATAAATTTAGAAGCTTCTGCAATGTGAAAAAAATTGATTTGTGAGCAAACTCTTTTCCTTCAACACATCTCTTTTTCTATTCGAGATATCGAGATATTGAACTTTAAAAAGATTTTCTTTATATATAATTGTCTCTAAAAGAATTAGAAAAGTCTTGACCATTTTCGCAGGAAATCTTAACATTCCTATTAGTCAACAAATTGTCGGTTCTCTTTTAATCAGGAGTAACATTTCCTTTTGCAAATTAAAAAATATATTATTTTTATTTATAATGTAGAGAAATTGATCGAATATGTGGCTAGAAAGTATTACCTTACGTATATGTGACAATAAAACGAGTCGTTTACAACTGTAGCTAAACCAACTGTGTCAGAATCGTCACTCAATTAAATTGTGTGGCGGTATTTCCATATTTAATTCAGCGGATCTATACCGCTAGGCGCTATACCGCTAACTAAAGTATACTTATCTCTTGGTTTATCTTCGATCTCTCGTCCTTAGCTAAACTAGACCTTTAAAGAAATTATAGAAAGAGATGTTGAAAAAAAGTTGTCTATTTCTATTTTACACATCTTAGACGGAAAATAATTACAAAAGCACCTTGGTTTCAAGGGTATTATTATATATCATGAAACTCGGCATGAAATACGACATTCGTTTTTATATAAAGTGTACAATACTTCTACGCCGTTGTGCACACTTACCACGAGAAAATGTTTAATTCGATACATATGGTTTAATTTGCGTTACGCGCGATTAATTGACGATATTTATATTGAACCATGCAAGTTAGTCCATTTGATTCGGTGAACGTTTCGAACTTATACAAAAAACTAAACACAACCGCCCACATTATGAAAATCTACAGCAAGTTCGTGTTTTGCGATTTAATTAATAATAGGTTAAAATTTTCGAAGACGCGGCGTGGACGCGCAACAGTTTCGACACAACCGCTTATCTCTATGTCTTCTTCTTGGTTTTCTTCGTGGTCTCTGAGGGCGAAGCTTTCTTTTTGGTCGGTTTTTCAGCCTTCTTCGCGTACTTGTCGATCAGGGAGTCGAAGAAACTGTCCGATTGATTGGCGCGAGCCTTATTACGATTTTGTATCACCAGCGCGAGATCGTTCGTGGCGTTTTCCTCATTCTCAATCTTCAGCATCATCTCCAGGCGTTCGGCTTCCGCCGCCTCCTTGGCCCACTGTAATCAGAGAGACCGATCAGACCAATTAACATGAGAAGTCGATGGCTGTTTACTGTCGGACTGGAGAGCGGCTTAGTCAGCGCGTTTAGTCTAAATTGATAATTCGATCCAGACTCGCCGCGGAAAGGAATTGATTTTTCAGAGCAGATAACGGCCGCTCGCGAGACGCACAAGCGCGTTCTCTGTTAACGAGATTGATTGCAGCCCGCTCGTAACAAGAGCGAGAAGACGCGAGAGCTCTACGTTACGTGTTTCTATTTCCGAAACGCGCCACGCGCCGCTGATCCTCGAGAGTATTAGGCGCACGCGACTTCGCGTTCGAAGCCAAGCCTCTCTTCTTCTTCCTTCTGGGGAACGGCGCAGTTTAATTTCAAGGGGGTCATCGATTTTATCGATGGTCGAAGCGGCGGGGTACGCGTCACTTATAGGCGTGACTCGGACGAAGCAGCGTAAAGACGCAGTAGACCGTCGATGTGCAGTCTACAATATCGAGTCTACTTGGATCGCGATATGACCATGAATCCTAGAACGCAGCATCGCGAATCCGCTTTTCCGCGGCTGAGGTTTTCCTTTCGGCAGCGCCTAGCTACCTCCGGGATACATAAGCGTCGATGACGCTTCATATCGCGCGTGACCTACTCCATAATCCGCTGCTGAAGAAATTCCGTTATTTATAATTTCTGGCAAGTACGTCTAATGCTGGGTGCCTAATGCTGGTGCATTGCACAACGCCACGCGGGATTCTGACTGTATACCGAGTCGCGAGACGGTGGATTCGTCAGCGGTTAAAAACGAAGGAGATCTTACTTTGTCTCTCTGAGTCAATAGTGGTCGTTGTAACGAGTTGAGATCTTATTTATCAAACAAGACTTTCTTGACCACCAAATTGAGACGCGAAAATGACGAATGACATAATATATATTTGGATAAATAATATTTTTCTATCTTGTAATCGAGTTACGTCAATCAAGAGATGACAGAACTATCGCTCGAACATGCAAACGGGCGGGAAGCGTTGCTTCGCGCAAATATAATATTTTAAGACAGATCTCTTTCGAGCCGTGCCAAATATCTGCGAGGCCGTCAACACGTACGCGCATCAGCCCGAGTCGAAGGTGGAAACCTTTTTTCCGCGACCTTGCAGCGCGATCCGAGGTCTATATTGATCGGGATTATCGCGTCACGTCTCGGCCCAAGGAAATGGACGTTAAATAATTGACAGCAATCGAAGCACGGATGGCGCGAAGAAATATTTAACACGATCGTGTCATCGGTATGGAATCCCACGGAGAATTGACTGCGCGGCCCTCAAGTTCGCTCGTTCGGAAGCGGGAAAACTCTTGGAAAACATGTGCGCGGAAATGCTACGCGTTTAGTCGATGATGAAGATCATATCTTAGGAAGATAAACGTCGCTTCTCGTTATAACGGGACGCTTTATTAACGCTTTATTCAAGGCCGCTCGATTTCTACGCGAGAGAACTCGCGTTCTCTCTACCTCTCTTTCTCTTTCTCGTTCTCTCCTCCCGTCTGGCGTGACCGACCTCGGCAGATTCTCCGCGGAGATGCACCTGTTGCATGAAGAATGACGGAAGCTGCCGTGCGAACTTGACTCCTAACAGCGTCGCCTTTGAGCATATATTTAACGCGTTTGTGCGAAGAGCAACGCCGGTCGAGTCGTTACAAGGTCGTTACATAACGCGCGACCGCGCATTTGGACGATGACACTTTGTAATTATTTCATTACTACGCGACGACCGAGTCGCCGCTTAATTGCAATTAAAATCATTTCTCGGTACGACACGCACACACCCCGCTCTATTGGCTTTTCTACTTGGCAAACGTTTCATGGTGTTACAACATATGGTCGCGCCCCGAACGATTCCGAGAAACGGAACCACGTTCGATCGTGAGATCAAAGATTCGCTAAGTTTAGTAGTAGCTGATAAACTTTAGCATATTTTCTTTGATTTTCTTTGGGATATGTTAAGTCGACGTTCAACAAGTTTTTTGTGTCAATCGAAAAAGTTACAGCATCAAAGTTCGCGTTTCCCATTCTGCGCATTAGAAAAGAGCTTTTGTATACGTGCACATTTAGATGAATTGCCTGGAATTGGCGATACAATGCATTAGAAATGTCAAAATTAATTCTTCCTCGCATTTTTAAATATCTATTGTACATGATACCTACGCATCAAGTTTAGCTGGCTCTGCCATTTCCGGAGAACGAAATTTTCAATTCCGAAGAAAGTTTCACCCATCTTGACCACTCTCGCTAATTATCTGCATCTGATTAATAATCCTACGAAGCGTCTTTGGGAAAATGCTCGGCAGCTAGATATGAGGAAATATTACAATGTTAAATACATAAATGCGCGCTCGAAATTCCAAGTCACAACACGGTGTTTAGATGCGTTCCTTAGATCGGCGAGACCTCAGTTCGATTCTCTTCTGTATGGCGTGATGTTGGAATTTATCCCGCCGATCTGGACGATAAGGGAAGCGCGCTCGAAACTAAAATCGCTCCACGACGGCGTGCCCGAGAACGGTGACGACAATAAACGTCACCAGTGCAGCGGCCGGTCGGGTCTTCGGTGCCGAATTCTTGCATTCGGGAAGTGGCTCGTCCGTCGTCGTCATCGTCTCCATCGGACGAACGCCCGTGACCTCCCTGTCGCTTTCCTGATAATTCTGCAACGGTGGATGCACGGTGACCCCCGGTTCGTAATACGGACCTGGATAGAACTCGCCCGTCGACGGTGAGTGCATCAGTTCCGGTGGTGAAGGTCTGACGTAGTGTACGCCGCGCGTCGTCGTGGTCTGCGATCGATCGTACACAACGGGACGATCCGTGGCGACGAAGAGGTCGTCGTCGGTCTCCGACGACGATTCTTCGACGATCATTTTACGTGGGTCATGCCCGTAATACGGCGGTTTCGTTGACCACGTCGCTCTATCGTTCCCAGCAGGACGGCGAGATTGTTCGTGATGTTCCCGCGTCCAGGACGGATTGGCCGGATGCTCGATCGAATCATCTGTGGACCAAGACCCGAAAGTAACCATGTCCGAGTTACCGGACGATGGATGCGTCACTTGAACGGATCCATGCGGCGTTCTCTCCAGACCGTCGGACGTTGTAACATACAGTGGATATGTCCTGGTGTCTTCCGCCTGTGATGGTCTCCCGAATGTTCCTACCGTTTCGGCCTCTGCAGGAATAACTACTCGCGATCTTTCCGTGGAATACGACGGATAAGACATCACTTCGGCCTCTGTAGGATGACCTATAGCAAATACTTGCGATCTCTCAGACGTGGGATACGACGGATAAGGCGTTGTTTCACGCGTTGGAATGTACGGCGGGTACGGCGTTGGATATGACCAACGGGGCGTCGTTTCGTACGTTGGATACATTGAGGTGTGTCCCGTTCGCGATGGTTCGTCAATTCCTGACATCTTGATATCCTCTGAGGGCGGTGCTCGTGGCGTTTCCGGCGTTGAGTAAGGCATTACCTGATGCGACGACGGTATGGGCAAGGGTCTTGTGTTCGGAATCTGTTCCACTCGCGACAGGTCTTCTTGATGCCTTGGCCGCACGGTCGTGGTTGGTGGTCTCCTGTGGCGTGAATGATGTTCCGAAGAGTCCGGATAAAACGTCCTATCTCTCGTTCCATAAGGTCCTTCTGATTCTTCTGGAGGCGGTCTTCTATCGGGATGCAACCTTTCGCGGTGCGCCGGCAAGGTTTCTCTGTCTTCCTCCACGTAGCTCGGTGGCACGTGAACGTCGATCGTGTCACTGGCGAGTCTTCTCCACTCGGGATCCTGCTCAAAAGCAACGCCCTGATTCTCAAGGAACTTGCTGACGGCGTGCGGGCAGGCAAACTCGGAGTTCTCGCTGAGGAACATGCGCTTCAGTTCCCTCAAGTTTGACATCTCGTCGAGATTCAGGCATCGCAGTCGATTTCCCGAGATTCTAAGGTCCACGAGACTGGGTAGATTCTTGTAGACGCCGTCTTCGATGTCACGTATGTCGTTGTAATTGAGATCGAGATACGTCAGGAAGTCCAAACCTTCGAACCACGATGCTTTAACGGTAGTCAAGCGGTTGCTGTCCAAGCTGAGTTGCTGAAGATTGACGAGGCGTCGAAAGGCGTTCGCATCAATATCGGTAATCTCGCAATGCGAACAGCTCAATACCCAAAGGTTCCCGCCGAATCTCGCAAACGTGTCGGCGGTTATTCTGCGAAGTGGTATCTTGGTGATTCTCAATTTCTCGGTTGTCTCGGGTATGGTGGTCAAATCAGCGGGATGGCCACCCTCGCAGAAATATTCCAGCATCTCCTCGTTCGTCACCTCTCTGCACGATGCCGCGGCATCGCCGACGAACGCGATTAGCAAGGCGAGTAACACTACAGTTGCGGCACTATCCATTTTTTGGATTGACGTGTAAAGGGATTACAGGCAAAATAATGCGATTCGTCTCGGTTAATGGTAAAGATAAACGTCGTGAAAGAAACAGTCCTGTATTAAATTCATTTCGACGATCAAACGGAACGAAATGTAACGATCATCGCGAGAGGAATTTCTCGTTTGGAGCTTTGTGATTAATGGTAAACGGCCGAACTAATTGTAACGCGGACTGAAGCAGTTCTCGCATTCGTAGGTTACTTATTTACTAGACCTTCCCCTCCTAGTGATGCTTCTATTTCTCCTACTACCTTCCACCCGTCAAGCTGTACAGTCGATCGGTAAAAATAGAGAAGGTTGAAAATAGAGCGGCGGGGCGTTAAAAGACTGTTGAAGTGACATTTAGCAAGAATGTGCTAACGTGATTTAAAATTCGCGGTACAATTGAACGCGGTCGATCGCGGTTACAGATCGATACGCGAGTAGGACGTGGACGAGAGACAAACGGGTGACGAAACGATGTTTCGCAACAATGTTTTTTCTTACATTACAAGTTATTTGTTTCAACAATTAACTTTTTTCGTTTGAATGCTTTAAAAAATTCCAAAATCAATAAAAAAGCAATAGAAATACAAAATTATATTCACAATAGCCATTATTACGATATAATTGTATGTCGGATAAATGAGAAAATAATTAAAAACGAGTTTTAAACATAAAAAAATATTAGAAAATCGAGCTATAAACATTCGACGATAACAGACAATAGGATTTGCGAAAATCATAATTTTGCAAATGCATCAGAAACTCTAAAATTCTTTAAAGAGTCAAAACTATATCAATTATATCAAAATTTTAAAGAGGAAATGCTATTTTCACAGACACACTAACATCCACTTGATTTTAATTGATCTTTTGCATTCTACTGCAGTTTCAAAAGCTCTTTTCTTGAAGTCTTTTTAACATAGTTTTTATAAATCGATATAAATCGAATATATTATACTTAATATCTTACCTTTCTTTTCCTGCGTTGCTTTTTCTTTTTATTTTCATTAGTGAAAGCTGTATATTCTGGAACTTCACCTCTCTCTATTAGATCCTCAATTATGGCATGCAGCCTGGGTTCTTCATCACAGTTTGTGAATGGAACAGCTTCCAAAATGTAATCCATATCTCCTTTACCTAAAAAAGCATAGACGTGTATAAACAAGACCTATACATTAATGTATTACAACATTGATATGTGACATAAAAAAATATCTCTTTCTTCTATTATATACCTAATTTTGAACAATTTTAAATCAAATCTATTTTTCTTTACAAATATGTATTAATTCTTATTTGCGGTATAAAAATTATTTTTAAGATAATCAATAAATTCGAAAAAATTGATAGCTTCTAATCATCTATACATTTGTAGCAAGTGGCACAAATCAATACAAATATTATTTTATTTTTGTTATTAATTGCCAAAAAAGAAAGATTGAACGATGTTTGTGTGGACTTGTGTTGTTTGCTGGAAAGCTCCCATAATATACAAACTTACTGTCTATGTATGCTCTTTTGAGATCCTTGATCTCCGTCTCCGATCCCTTGTAATTCTTCTCATAATTATTGATATCTTCAACGGTGATTGGTTTAAATAAGGACCGCCAATAATCTGCCCAATTGCGCATCACGACCTCCTCGCTTTCTTCGTCATACTGGCCGGATTCGTCGTAAATCTTGCGCTTCTCATTGTCACTGAGGATGGAATGTATCCTACCGAGAACCTTGAACTTCTCCGTCGCCTCCGCCTTGATGTCCTCCTCGACCCGATCCGGATGCACGAGCAACGACAGCTTGTGATAAGCCTTCTTAACTGATGACACAAATAACGAATATTATTATCATAAATAAAAATTTCAAGAGGTTAGAACCGCTTCATCATCGACATCGCCAGTTCCTTACCTTGCTTGTCGTTCGCGGTTTTCGGTATTTTTAACACGTCGTAAAAGTTACGGGCGCCGAAGTACTGCTCGCATAAATCCAATAAGCTCGCCATGCTGCTGAATTTTTCGAATAAATACTGGAAATACTAAAAATTTTAGTCCGCAGACCGAAGACGCGAACAAACCTGATGACAACAACAGTCAGCTGCCCGTGGAGTCCGATTTTCACGCGGGTTTGTACACAAACCATTCAAATCGAACCGTCGAAAGCGACACCTACGCCAGGGCGCACTGACGGGACCGACGGGACTGTTGTTTCGTCGGTAACAAAACTCTCATCACATACCAAATACCAACTGCGTCATCTGACTGAAAGTAGCTGCGCCCTCTGTTTCCGCTTCTGATCTTGCATCGCATCGTATGCCTCTTGCTCGTGCGGTTTCTTTTCCGGTGGTGTCAAAATGGTAAGGCGGTACGGCGGTGACCGATTCGATCGAAAAATCGAGCGATATTGTACCGCCGCTCGTCAATCGCGATAAATGAACGTGATCGCGGGATATAAAATTGTTCGAATTCAATTAACGATGGATATTTCTCTTCGCAGGGTATTGACATTAATCATAAGCACGATCGGAAGGTGCGGCGAACGGAGCCCAAGTCGCAGGATGTTTATTTGCGGCTCCTCGTCAAGGTAAATGCCTTGGCTTTCATATTATTTACTTGCGAAGCAGATTATACTGTCGAACTGTTACTCGGAAATATTTAATTCCATTTTACTCGAATTTCGTTGGAAATAATGCACGTTTGTCTTTCATGATGGTTCCTCATTGAGGTTAGTTTCACGTGTGATTACATGTGATACGAAAGTTTCGTATCGTATGTACCTTTCCTCAATTTTCACTTGTCAATTGGTTGAAGTGAGAGAAATTTAGTGACCGTGTATCATCTACCTTTTCAAGATTGCGAGCTGCACTCTGTGTCAGGTCTTGCATGGGTCTGATTCAATTTGAAAGTTCGCTAGAAAAACACTCGTCAACTATCCTATCTCGCTTATTTGCAACGTAGAAGGGCGATTATTATAGTTGATACATGTGCCCCACATAATCAAAACTTTGTAATTATAGTTCTCAAATCTTGTAATTAGGCTGCACCTTTTATAGGATCAAAATTTTATAAAATTTTCACGAGATGTGTTATACATTTTTTCTGCAATTAATTTTTTTGCAATTAATAAATTTGTAATAAATTATATATACCCGTAAAGTTCCTGAAGAAGGCCATAGATTTGAGAACTACAAGTTTATTGGAATCATCACAGTTGAACAATGAACGCTTTTGTTGTAGCTATATCGGTTCTTGGCGAGACGAACAAATTCAAAGTTCAACAAAATTATTTTGAAACGACTGTTCATGAGCAAGATTCATCGACCACCGATTTCCCTGGCACGAATCGTGAGGTTTATGAAAAAACCTGGAAGGGAGAATTGTCTAGCCGTGATTGTCGGTACCGTTACCGATGACGCTAGGATCTTCGAAGTCCCTAAATTGACGGTAAGTGACTACAAGTATACCACTAACTGACATCTAACTGACCGTTAAATTTCGTATTACACGGCAATTGATTTTTGTAGGTGTGCGCTTTACGCGTGACCGAGAAGGCTAGGGCGCGCATCTTGAAGGCCGGCGGTGAGATCATTACGTTCGATCAGTTGGCATTACGCGCTCCGACAGGAAAACGCACGGTCCTGATGCAGGGACCGCGTAACGCTCGCGAGAGCGTTAAGCACTTCGGCCTGGCACCCGGCGTGCCGCACTCCCACACGAAACCATACGTCAGGTCCAAGGGACGAAAGTTCGAGCGGGCGAGAGGCCGTAGACGCAGCTGCGGTTATAAGAAATAAGATGGCAACACACATTTCGACGGATCTTCTGTCAGATGTAATCTTTTTTTTTCCATGCGATTAATAAGCGACTGAAAAATAAAAATTTACTTCACAATAATTGTCCGTTTTTTTTTTCTTGTGTTACACGTATCTAGATTTTCTAATTTATTAGTAACTTCTATTCATTTCACACGATTTACAATTTACATTGTATGTGCCATTCAATTTGTAAACTTACATTTGAAATCTATTGTTCGTTCATTACTCTTCACTGCTCTTCACAGTTTAATGTCTGCGAATATAATACGTATCAAATATAAAATTGAAGAACAAATTAGAAAAAGATTATTAAATTATTAGTAAAAATTATAATTTTGTTTGTCGACGAACAATCGCGATAAAAGAACAGCCTGAATGTGCGTCAACTTGAAAAGAAACGCGCATCGGGTTTGTTCATTTTGTTCATTTCATCTCGAATCGAACTCGAGAACAATCGACGTCGATTCGCGAGTCGCGAGCTGAACTTGGCGTGAGTACCCGGACATCCCGTCGCGCGATCCGCGGCGCGAGGCGCGATGAGGCGCGGGTGCGGGCGCTATCAGTCGCCATCTTAGCGGCCGCGATCGGTTCATTCTCCGTGTCCTCGGGGCTCCCGTCGTATGTTCGGCGCGACTGTGCGCAGCGTCGAGCGTCGTCACGGTAGGCAGCTAGCCCCCCGTCGTCGATAGTCAGCGCGGCGCACCGGGAAGCGAGCGGAGCTTGCCAGCGGCGGCGGCGGCGGCGGCGACGACGGTTTGCCGGTGCACGGACGGCCGGCGGCGCGGCGCGACGTGACGCGACGCGACGACGACGGGAGGAGAGCCAGAGCGGGTCATCGGCGAGTGGCGGCGACGGCGGCGGCGGTGAAGCGGCAGCGCGCCGTAGGTGGGCGGCGGTACCTAGCGTCGAGAGCGTTCCTCGTTCCTCGTTACTCGTTCTTCTCCTGGCCTCGACCTCGGCCCCGGTTTTAAAGCCCAGCTCCGACTCCAGCTCTGGCTCGAGGCTCGAGCCTAATCTGCCATTAGTCCTGTCACCCGATCGCCGCTCGCTTCGAGACTCGCGCGAGAACCCGTGACGTAGCCGTAGCGCGTGACAACTCGGCTGTGTGGCGTGAGGTGCGGAAGCTCGGAGGTCTCCGTCGAGCTTCCCGAACGTCGGAAGCTGAATAAAGGAAAAAAGAGACATAGAGAGAGAGAGAGAGGACATTTCTCGCGACAGCTGCGACTGGCGATCGTCTTTGGGGGCACGGGAAGATGAGCTGCCAACGTAACGCCGGCAAGATTACGGTACCGGACGATCTGCGGGACGTCCTGCTGGAGTTCACCATCAGCTACCTGCTGGAACAGCCCGGCGACATCATCGACTACGCCGTGGACTTCTTCACGCGGCTACGCGACGCACGGCGTACGCAGCTGATCCAGACGGACGGCCAGACCTGCTCGTCCACGCCGGACGAGTCTGTCGATGAGGGTGAGTCTCGGGAGAACGAGATCTTTCTCTCTCTCTCTCTCTCTCTCTCTCTCTTTTCTTCTTCCTATCTCTGTCTCTTTCTTCTTCTATCCCTGTATTCCCTGTCTCCGTCTCGTGACATTTCAGGGGTGCAATTCTGTCAATTATGCTTATCTACAGCTAACCCAATCGAAAGGTCTAAAAACGAGATGGATAAATCCATGATTAAGGTCCATTTTAAATGCAGCTTTGTGATCAAAACGAATTCTCCGAATGATGACCTTATTATATTTTTTAAGCGGAAGACCTTTCATCTTTAATTCTCTGTACGAGGAAAAATTGATTCTGGCAATCTATCAAAAGGTCTAAAGTGAAAGGGATGTCTTATGTATTACCGTCGGTACTGCGATTTACAAAGAAAGAAATAAGAAGCAATGTCGACCAAGTTGATTCCTCAAAATCTCTTTATTTCACTGACAACAGCATCCCATTAGCTTTTCTTAATTAAGTTAATAAATTAAGAGAAGATAATCAGCGGGACTAAAAAAAATTTGTCCAATAACAAGACGTGACCATCATCTCGGAGAAATTACGTGAGAAATAACGACAGATTATTCTCTATATCTCTCTATCCGAATTATCGGAAAGAATCAGACATTGTTTGCGCAGGCATAGAGAGTGACCGACAACTCGGTTAACTCATCGTGATTAGTGTCACGCACGACGTTAGTAGAGTCAAGCTAGAGCTGGTCGAGAGCCGCTCGAATCGATATCGGTTATAAGTTGTAAGTTAAGCGTGCAGGGTCGATTCTATCAACGTCACATGTGACTCGTCGCTGTAGTTTCGATTCTCACTTTCCTTCCGCAGGTGAATCGGGGGCGGAGGAGTAGGCGGAGAGTCGAGAGAGGAAAGATCGTGATTCCGGGGTATAATACCGTATCTATATACCGTAATGTCAGTAATTTACTAATGGCGCGATGGACAGCGACGAATAATAATTTAATAACATCGAACGATCCGTCATTTATTGCGTTCTACGCCGTATTCTCTCCCTCTCTTTCTCTCGTTTTTTCTTCATTGATAAATTTAACAATACCAGATAATCACCCGGTGAACGGGGGTCGGTCGAATCGGTCGATTGTCTGAATTTTTCTACCAATATTAATTCCGCCGTTGGTTAAAGCGATTTTCCCTTGCCTCGGATCCGGAATCTTAACGTCGCAAATGATGCAATATGGGCAGTTATCTGGAATTAGCGCTGAACGATATTGGTGGGTTTGGTTTCCAAACAAATCGCGCACGTAATGCGAAATGTATAGGATGTCTGAACAAACGTTGGGGTGTTCCACTGAGAAATGCACGGCGCGACATCAATACGCTTCTGTTCGAACGCAATTTTAAGTCGGCGTCGAATTCGATGAAACTTAAGACGTCCTTCCTTCTCCTCTTCCTTTCCTTTTCTTCTGCGATAACTGATATCCGTTCTTTTGCGAAAAATAATACCGCGCTTCCAACCTCCTTTTTCCCAAGCTAACTCAATTTTCGATTCTTTCTTGTCTGATCAAGAAGGAAATCTCTTAAATCTCTTAAATCTCTTGTGGCAGAGAGACTCGCCATGGAAAGATAAATATTTTTAGGGTATTATTGGATCTCCCTTGCTGTCGAACGCGAAAAGAAAG